ACTGTTGGGGTAATCTACAGCAAGTTCCACTAGTACCTACAGAAGCTTCACTGTCTGTTTGGCTCCACAGGTGGTTCTTTCCTTGACTTGGAAGTGTTGGACCCTTTTTTTCTTTTTTCCCCCAGAGAGGCATGTGCTGCTTGCCCTAGCTTCTCCCTGTAGAATTCCTTGATATTTATTTTGCAGTGTGCTGGTTAGAAAATGTAGGTAGAAATATTGTCTATTGTTTCTTAAGCCAGCTCTGTGATTCATTGGACTCTCCTTGATACAGTGGTTCAAATAATTCTCAACTATATTACTTTATGTGTCATGTCTCAGGGAAGCCTGCAACCTTAATAATAAAATAATCATGTGCCAGGTGACCCTTTTATCCAGGTTATTTGGGTATTAAACACACATTATTCAAGTCAGTACCCTTCAGCTTACATTTGCAGGTCACCTTAAAGTGCTAACACACCTCAACAGCTGTTGACAAGTTACCATACAGCTCCTAATGCCAAGAGGTCAAGTTTGTTGACTCAGCCTACTGAAATTTAACATTTGTGCATGCTGTGCCTTTGAGTCTTTAGCACTGGGTTTGAGATGAGGATAAACTAAGTGTAGTAGGTGTTTAAAGGGAGAGTTGAGCTTGCAAGGAGTTCAAGGACAGGATTTGTCAGGCAGTGGTTTAGGGCTGAGCACTGAGGTGACTGCAATCTGCAGTTCTGGAAGATGTGCCACTTTCCCAAGGGACACTTGGTGGCTTGGGAGCAGGAAGGCTGTGCATGTAGGTGGAAGCTGGAAGCAGAGGGGATGGACTGGCTTCAACTGAGCTATCGGGAATGGACTAAGTATGGCATAGATATATTGGAGAAGGACCATCTTCTTTCTTTCCCTCTCACTCCAGAGTATTGAAGCTGCTGTTGAAAGCATGAACATGAGAAATTCCGCTTAGTCTTGGTTTCCATTTTAATTAGCCTTTTCTTTTTAATAGTGCCAATGCCTGCTTCCCCATGTAGCTTTGCCAGTCAACACCACTCGCTAGTTTTCGCGGCTTCTCTTCACAAGTCTGAAGGATTGTATATGACAAGGCTCCTCTTACTCCCTCCAGGCACCCAAGTTAATCAACTACAGCTGATCTTTGTTACGCTCTGAATCTCAAAGAACTGGGTGCAGTTGAGGGAAATTTGACTTCAGACTTGAGATCAGAAGCTGATAGAGGCCTGTGAGATACAGCCTGCTCTATTCAGGTTTTTCCATATGTAAGCTACTTGAAGAGGTATGGAAAGATATTTTGTTGATTTGAGTGACTTCAGTTCTTGAAGGAAACCTTGTAATTTTAGAGTCATTGCAGAGAATGTGTTTTGTACTGGTGGCTTTGCTTTAATACTTTCAAATTATATTTACAACGTGATCTGTGTTCTTTCTACATTCTCTGTGTGAATGCTTTGTGTGCCAGTGTATGTGGCATACATGCCATGCCAGAAGTATGGCTTCAGTGGATTAAGGTGAGAAATGTGAAATCAGTAAGTGGTTTAAACTAGACATAAATGTGAAATGTGGAAAACACAGATTCAGTACCCTCTCATCATCACCTTGGAAGGAGAGACCAAAGCTGCATGCTATAGACTGTTCTGTGGAGGTTTACTTCACTCTTGCAGTGCTCTTATTTTACTTTTCTTGGTATAATTCAAGTATTCTCACTGAAAGGGGGAAACAGAGTTGAACTTTAAGAAAACAGATTCACATCCTTCCTTTATCCCTGGGAATGCTCTTCCACTGTTGGACAAAAGGGAAATGTTAGCCTTTTTCAGAATTCTTCCCCTGGATGTGTTCTTGGTTTCTCAAGTAAATGCCCTGGCAGCAAACAGAAAAAACCAAACATTGTCTACAAGGAAGAATAAAAAAACCTCACTTCTTGTTTGGACCAAAGCCACTTTGTTTTTCAGTTAACAAGCCAAACCAAATACAAAGTTTTTAGTGCAGCTCTCTTAAATATATGCACAGCTTGTGATTCACATTCTTCTAATAAGGGTGCTATTTTGTGATGTGTCTGAGTGGTTTCTTAGCCTTTGTGAAGTGAGACAAATAGTTCTCCATTCTCCATGAGAACAGCAGGCAGTTGGTACAGCAGAACCAGCTGCTGCGTGTGTCATGGTGGCTGCAGACTCCTCTTGGTGGACTCCTGTTCAGAAGGAGCTCCTGGCTGTACGTGGGTGTGGCAGGCAGTGCTGGCATTTCTGTGTCCACCCCTGAATTAGTTACTCCCCTCAAAAGGAAATGAATGGTAGGGAATGGTGCAGAAGCTGTTGCAATGAGAACTGTGTTGCTGCTCAAAAGGTAAAAGGAGTGGCAGGGAGCAGAACTTTTTCCATGATGTGTGTGCTCATCCCTTTGAGCTGCTGGACAGTTCTTAGGTGTACTGAATGCATGTTGTATTGAAATGCCATTCTCTTTTCACTTCCCAGTGCAAGCCATGTTTAAAAAATAAAAACCCAGTATGTTTGGAAGTCAGACTCCAAGTGTCTCTTTTTTGGTTGCTCAGAATTACTAGGTGCTTTTAAAAATCAAGGTCTGATTGAACACTAGTGTCGGTGAACTGAAAAACAGGCTGGTCACAAAACAGAACCAGTTACAAATCTGACCCAAATGGGAGATGAAGTGCAGAACGGTTGTGCCTGTGGCTGTGAGTGTGTTACACAGTGCCAAGGTGATCGACCTCAAAAAGATTTTAGGTGGTGATGAACATACTGGGTTATGTCCAGTGACTGAATTACAGTGACTGAAAGAAAATTGGCTTTGTGTGTGGATTTGTATTCAGCCAAGCAGACAAGTTGTATACAACACTTGGAAATACAGTGTGGTCAGTCCCAAGTAGCAGTAGTATAGATTTGCCAGTCACAGTATGTATTGAGCCTATATGCCTTATTAATGTGAGCATCCTGGCCTGTTGTTCTTTATTTCTCAGTGTTCCAAGACTCAATATCAGCACACTGAGTAGTAGACACCTGGTCTTATGCAGAAGTCTAAGGATTGTGTAGTAGTTTTCAAATGCCAAAATATGTCAAACTCTTCTATTGTATGTGTTCTTTATTTAAGCTGGACGTAGCCAGAGCAGAGAGTGACTTTTGACAGTCTGATTTCGTCCTCACTGAAGAGTCTGTCTTCACTGGGTTCATTGATAGAATTTTTGAGAGTTTTATTATCTAAAATCTTTTCTAGAAACTGTTGAAATTCCTCTGATATTTTCACATTCTTTTTAAGTTAGGTTTAATGAGCAATCAAAGAATTGCCAAACAGTTCTATGTTGGGTTTCTTAACAATCAGGTCTTGATA